CCAACAGTTATTTAACTGTCGGAGACAATAATTTAACTGTTGATTGACTTTTTTTTTCTTACAAAAATATTTTAATTAATATTACTGTATTTGCTCTAAATTACTGTCTCCAGCAGTTATTTAACTGTCGGAAACAGTAATTTAACTTTTCATTATATTTTTTCTTTTGAGTTTTTTTTTCTAAAAAAAATTATTTTAATTAATATTACTGTCTTGGCTGCTAAATTACTGTCTCCAACAGTAATTTAACTGTCTTATGCAATAATATTATTGTTTGGACAACAATATTACTGTTCGGAAAAATAATATTCATAATATTACTGTCCCAAACAGTAATATTACTGTCTGAGACAGTATTTTAGCAGCAAAAACATAAATATTAATTAAAATATTTTTTTCTAAGAAATTTCAAATTAAAAAAAATAAATCGAAAAAAAGTCAACATCGGAGACCGGCCGGAAAAAAAAATTCAGAAAAAAAAGTTTTCATAAAAAACAAAGTCAATGCCGGAATCTGGCCGGAAAAAAAAAAATCATACAAAAAATTATTTTCTGAAAAAAAAAAAATTCAAAAAATTATTAAAATGGGGATTAATGTGATATATTTGTTTAAATCCGGGGTCAGTGTGTATTATTAAGGAAGTTAGAGCATAATGGATGGAATTGACAAAAAATATATTATGGAGGGTATTTTTGACTAAAGATATGAGGATGAATTTATTTGAAAGACTATTTTCTTTTGGACCAATATGCATTTAAGTCCCTTGGGATGGTAGCGCTGCAAGAAACAGATATACGCACATCGATCCCTAAGACATGAAAACTTGACTCCGATAATTGTTTCAGGGATGTTTTTTTGTAATTATTAATACCACATGGACCTTAAAATTATTTTTACATACCTCAGAGGTGGTTGTGTAAATGTCTAATTTACCCCAAAAAAATCAATCATTACTTTAAGATTTTATTTTTCTTTCAATCAAATGGATAAAATTCAACGGTTACATACTTACATATAAAAAAATCTTCATAATTAACAATTATATATATATTTATGGGTAAATGAGTGATAACCCCCTAGTTTTGAAAATATATATGAGGAAGTCCAATGAATTATTTTGTCTTAGTCAAAAACCCAAATTACAATCTTAATTAGTGAGACCCTCCTGGGTAACTTGAATTACCAGTTTTGCCATTTTAATTTCAATTTTCCTAATCTTCTCATTCTTCTACTCACACCCACAACAACCGCCGTTTTATCTCTTCCCCTCTCCCTCTCTTCATCTCTCGTTCCCTTCGTCTCTCTAACTCTATCGCCAAAAAAAAAAAAAAACAGAAAAGTCTCCGGCGACGAACGGAGAACAAGTCGAAGAAGAGCATCGACTCGGTTTTTTTTGTGCTGCAGGTTATGGATAAGGCGTCGCTTATCCATAAAACTCTTTCTCGGTAGATCTGGCCCCGACGAAGAAAATGCACAACAGATGGGGGTTGATGACGGGCGGCAGAGACTTGGGAAGGTATTCTCTGTTAAAATAAAACAAATCATCTTTTAATTAATGTACGTAAGTTTTCTTCTGCTTAAAGCTTAGGCTTTAAAAATAAGCCTGTAAAATTGGCATGGCATGCCAATTGTTCAACAGTAGAAATATTTTGGACTCCAATATTGAATGGGGTCAGGTTATTTGGAAATTAAACATATCTTTGGTCTATATGATATAGTACTTAGACAGAGGTAGATCTTGGCCTTAAAATTGTTTTATCTGTAAATCCCTTTTTTGGTTGATGGAGAGCTCAAACTAGATCTACTATTTCTTATTCAAAAAAAAAAAAAAAATCCAGATATACTGCGTTTTTTAAGATCTGTGAGCAATTAATATTAAAAAAAATTCCTTTGGATTAATTTGAATTTTTATTTTGTTTGATTCTTATGTTGTTCATTTTTTTATAAATCATATGTCTTTTATTTTTCGTATTTATTTGAAGATGATCCGAAATGCCTCAAGTGTGAGAGCTCTGTTTGCCTGTAGTAGAAACTTAATCAGTAGCAGTTACTTAGATCGGTGATTTGGGTCAGGTGAATATACATTCATATGTAGTCATATACAGTCATATATGTAGTCATGTATAGCTATGATACATATAATTATACATGACTATAGAACTTAGGCCAGGTGAATATACAGTTATACAGTTATATACATGTGAAATGGTTTCTACGTTATTGTTTTAGTTTCCTCTCTTTCTTTGGTTGGGGGAGGGCTCAAATCAAATCTACTATTTTTTAGTAAAAAAAATATCAGATCTACTATGTTTTTTAAGATCTGTAAACAATTAATATTAAAATCTTTTTCTTTGAATTAATTTGATTTTTTTTATTTGTTTGATTCTTATGTTGTTCATTTTTGTTATAAATCATATGTCTTTTATTTTTTGTATTTATTTGAAGATGACTCGAAATTCCTCAAGTGTGAGAGTTATGTTTGCCTGTAGTAGAAACTTAATCAGTAGTGGTTACTTAGATGGGTGATTTGGGTCAGGTGAATATACAGTAATATGTAGTCATATACAGTCATATATGTAGTCATGTATAGTCATGGATACATATAACTATACATGACTATACAACTTGTAGTATACTATAATCATTTGTAGTGGATTACAGTACAATAAATTTAAAAAAAAAAATCATGTTTTTTTGTATTTTTCATGTAATCTAACTCGCATGTTCTATTTTGCCCTTTTAACTTGTATTTTTTTTGTGACAGGTTTTTTGTTTGCATAACATTATGAGATGCAAAGAATAAGACGCAAAGAAGTGCCATGTGAAGTTACATTAATGCTATAGTACTCCAGACTTATGCCACTTATATAACTATAGATAATTGTAGATAACTATAGTCACGTGTAGTAACATATATGTATATGTATGCTATGCGCTTTTTAATGTATAGTAATGCGTGTTCATGTTTTGAAGATTATATGCACGTGATTGTGTTTTTTTTTGTTAGTTGATTTATAATATCAAGATTAAAATTCTGACATTTGTTGTTGGTGTAGATTAATTTTGGGATAAAAAAACATTACATGATTACATATAACTAACTATACATGATTGTGGTATACTATAGTTAGGTGTAGTATACTATAGTCATGTATAGTCAATTTCAGTACAGTAAATTTATCAAAAAAAAATTAAAAAAAAAATTAAAAAAATTATAAAAAAAATACAAAAGAGGGTATGTATAAAAAATAATAATAAAATATACATTTATATTTTTTATTTAAAAAATCTATAAAAAATAATAAATGCAGGCCCAAAAATGTTAAATGCAGTTGGGCATTGTACTGAATGCAGAGATGAAAATACTAATGCAGTTGGGCGAAAATTGCACTTAAGGGCACAATAGTACTTTTGCCTGCCTCTCCAGGGGTGTATCTCAAAGGAAGATTTTTAGGGGTGAACCTATCCCTATATATTTTCCATTCTAGGTGTGTATATCAAATGACCCCATATATTTATATAAAAAAGATCTTCACAGTTAATAATTTTCCACTCATATTTCAGTTGTTTTTACCAAAAAAAAAAAAAAAAAATTAATTATTGTTAAAATAAGAAAGAAAGTAAAAACATGTGATTAGATCAATGGACAGCTCTTGGAGTTGGGAGCTATGAAAGAAGGCAACGAATATTTGCAAGACGAAAATTACTAAGTGCAAGACCTTACTTCATGCAAGACCAAAATATAAATAAATTTACTAAGATCAAGACTGGAAATTACAAATATAACCCCAATAATAATTTAGATATTATTAATTTAAATTAACGTAATTGCTATTGCAAGACCAAAAAAAAATACAAAAAAATTTTACCAACATCTTCTTCTTCACCCTCATTTTACACATTTTTTTCCACAAAAAATCTTCCATATTCTCCAAAATCCTTATCACATAAAACCCTCAAATCTTTACTAAAACTTGAAAAGAAGGACATTATCGATACACAAGACATAAATATGGAGGATTCTAAGGTCGAAGAACACAAAGAGGTAATAAATATTGTACTTTGTGATCGTTTTTCTCGTTTTTCGCACCTCATTTCACGTATAAAAAATTCGACATGTACAGGTCGAAATATCCGCTTAATATCGACACAGTAGTGTCGAAAATTTCAACATAATTCGACACTCCTTAACTGTCGAATTATATTGAAATTTTCGACATTCTGGTGTCGAATTATATTGAAAATTTCGACATTCTGGTGTCGAATTATATTGAAATTTTCGACGCTGGTGTGTCGATTTTTCAAAAATCGACACCAGTATGTCGAAAAATTTCCAAAAAATCGACAAGTACAGGTCGTTTTTTGTAAAACCGCAACTCCTTCAACAATAGTGCTACAATCGAACCCTAGAATCATTAATTATGTTCTAAAATGACTTGAATTCATTATTCTAACAATAAAATCATGTTTATCACATTTATTTCTCAAAAAAAATTAATTCAAAAAGTAATTTCCTTGTTTTTCGTGAGATTATTGTGGCGGGGTTGGGGCAACAACGGACTTCAACGGCGACGGGGAGGTGGTGGACTTCAACGGCGACGGCGACGGCGACGGAGCGATGGGGCGACGGTTGAGTGCTGCAATTGATTTTCTTGTTTTCTTCTTCCCTTCTTCCCTCCTCGTTTTTCAATTCTCAATTCAATTTCTTTTTTCTTTCTTTTTTTATTAATTTTTCTTTTTTAAACTGGTCTTGCAAAAGAAAATTAATAAAATAATTTTTATTTTGTTTGTATTTTATTAAGGTTATTATAGTCTTTTTATACTGAATTTAATAAAAAAAATTAATTTGGTCTTGCACTAAGTAATTTTCGTCTTGCAAATAGTCGCTGCCATGAAAGAAAGTTCGTTCGTCTTCTCTTTGAAATTCTATTCAACTCTGGTGGGCTTACAAACCCTCTTCTTTCTTCTTTCTTCTTTCTTCTTTCTTGTTCACCATCACCATCATCAAAACCCAATCACTATTCACCTTTTTGACTACAAGAGTAAGCGAAAGCTTGACCGATTCTCTCACTACTGTTATCATCTTCTCTCACTAAGTTCTTGATTTCTTTCGCCATGGGGCAATCTGACTGTGTAGGTTTTTGCAGAATCTGACCCATGCCCATTTCCTTTCGGGTAAGCCCGTATTCGATTTTCTATTTGGTTTCCCGATTCTTGATTAGAAAAGAAATGGGTTCTTGATTTTGTGTTTTCTGTGTAAGAAAAAAATAATTAAAAAAAAAAGTGGGTTCTTGATTTTGTGATTTCTGTGTAAGAAAATAAATAAAAAATAAAAAAATTGGGTCTTTATATATCAGTTCAATTATGTTGCCTGATCTGTGTGGATCAAGATTGCTTTTATCTTTGCCCGATGATATATTCTCCGTTATTACAAGCTCCCTCTCTCCGAGTGACGTGTGCAGCCTCGGTCTCGCTTGTCGAGATCTCAACGCCGTCGTTTCCTCGGACAAAGTATGGCTTGCCCAATGTAGTAAATTGGGAATTAAATTACTCCCTTTGAGCACCCTCGTCGAATGGAGAAAGGGGGTTCTTTCGTACCGAGCTTTATGTCGATTCTTGATCGACGTTCACCCGTTAATCGGTATTTGGGTTCACCAAAACCCGGAGCTTGGCAATGTAGTCTATGTCATGCCCGGTTTTTTATCGCTCGTTGGATGTCGAATAATCCCACAAGAAGTGGGCCCGTTAGGGCTTGAAGAAGGTCCGATTTTGTGGACGCCCGTATTCGAAATCATATGCAATCACGTGGGGTCCGCTTCGTTCTTTCTACACGGTAGAGAGAGAGGAGATGATTACGTTTATCCCGGTTTGCTAAAGAATTCCTCCGCGGATAAGAATTGTAACGTGCTTTTGCTCGAAGTGGAGCCTAGGCATCAAAGTGAAGGTGGGAAACTCACGTATAGCAAGAGCTTTGCTCGTGAATTGGATAACGAGGTTTCTTTGTCGAATAAGCTATCAAGATCGTGTAGTGGGAGGGTTTCTAATTCGAAGTCGCAGAAAATGCCCTTTAGCCGTTTGGGTTTTGGCGATCGAAGGAGGCTACTCGATGTTGTTACGAGTCAAATCCGAAATATTGTTCCGAAAGAAGCAAATGTGATGTTGTTTCCTCGCTCGAAGAACGATTTTGGGGTCTTGTACGAGAGGAGATTGTTGCTCTTGCAAATGTACGATGAAGAATCATCGTCGCCTTTTAATCCCACCGAATTAGGATCGAGCGACGTGTGCAAAAGCCTCGAGTGTACTACTACTACTACGAGTGTGGATCAATGCCACGTCACCAAAAGCAAGACCCTCTCGGGATTTCTAAAGAATGGGCTCAAACACATATTAAGGAAATCAAGCGTCGATCAAGAAAGTCAGAAATCAACTTCTTCTTCTTCGAGATGCCAGAGTAAACTCCACGAATTTCTTCGATCGGGAGATAGGGTTGGATTGAGTTTACGAGCCGCAACTATGAAACTATCTTCTTACCGAGCGTGGCCCAATATGCACGACAGTCGGTTCGCTCTCTACAAATTACCATTACACCCCTCCAATGCATGCGACGAGTATGCAGGTTTGTGGGGGGCCACTTTCGGTTGGCCCCCGGGGCGGAAATCCGAGGAAAAACCCGGAAAAGCCCTTTTCTTGATTTTGATATCTTACGAAGAATCGGAAGGGGAGAAGCTTATGATTGGTACAAAGATATTGGAAGGCACTTCGTACGTATTGCATCCTAATGGATCGGCTATGTTTATTGTGAACGTAAATCAACCGTCTATGGAATTATTTCCGATCGAGAGTGATGGAGAATCGAATTATATTGAAGTTAAAAGGTCGTTTTCGGGAGAAGGTGTTGCGAATGGGTACGGGTTTAGATATCCGGGTTCGAAACCGGGCTCGCTTTTTGTTCTTGAAAACGGATTGCTCGTTTTTATGTGGAAGGAGTCAAGGGTCGTGTTGACTTTGCAGAGGCTCGATTTGGGGGAGCTTTTGAGGAAAGGGGAAAGAGTGAATTCTTTGTCGCCGATTTCGAATTTTGCGTATTTGACAAAGACGTACTCGAACGTTTACTCGGGATTTTGAAATTTTCTTGAAAATAGGCGGCGCTCTATTTTTTTCCTCCAAGGTATGCTTCTTTCTACGTTTAATTGTCTGAGTTGAATACGGCGAATAATTGTAAGTAAGTTCGTTGTAGTTATAAAATGCTGTTCTTCCATCTATATTAAATGACGGTAATTCGTGTATATTTTGTGACAGGATTTTTTTTTTTTGCTGCTGGTGCCAAACGAAGAACTGTGTCGTAGATGGATGAAAGAGGTTCGATTATTTCGATATATTCTTTCGACTGTGCTGACTGAGTTTTGGTAAAATGCATTGGAAAAGAAACATTTGTATAACCATTGTGTTTGGGGTTGTTAAAGTCTGATGTTTATAGACACAAATTTATGCTGAAAAAGAGTGATTTATTTGAGAAATGATTGAGTTTGGTTATATATTACTTTGCAGTTTTTTTGGGAAAAATTACGAAAAAAACCCCTGAATTTGGGTTGAATAACGAAAACACCATCACCTATCCGTAATTATCAAAACTTGCATGATGTTTGTTTCCGTTTTACACTGCGCCCCCCTTACTGTGTGATTTTTTTTCGATTACATGAAATGTTTTCCAAAAAATGCAGAGTTTACTCCTGCAGACGTGGCGTTTCTTTATGCTACTTTTAAGAAACAAAAATTACCCTCAAGGGTATGGTAATACTAAAAAGTTGTAAAAGCCCTGTGTTATTTGAGAACAAAGATTTCGTATAAAGGCTCTATGAGGGTGACTTTTGTCTTTAAAAAAAGACAAAGAAATGTCACCTCTACAGGGGTAGAATTGGCATTTTTTGGGGAAATTTTCCCTGTAGTAAAAAAGATATTGTGAAAAATCACATTGTAAGGAGTGCTTTTAAAAAAATAGCTCAAAGTAACTTACTTTAGAGAAGAAAAAGTAAAAATTAATTTTGCAAACGCCTAAAAACAGATTATGAGAAAAAAAAACTTAGAAGCTATTTTTAAAAGTTTTTGCGACCACCACCTAAGTGTTTTAAGACAATAAGAAAAATGACAAAAAAAAAAAAAAAAAATCCAATTGAATATTGAGATTATTCATGCTCGAGTTTAGTATTTTAATTTTAAAATATAACCATTTAAATAAAATAAATTAATTATACAGTCACTAGAGAAACTATCAAAAATTGAAAGAAAAATAAATAAAAAAATTTACTTTGATGAATCTAAACACCACACACACACAGAAGAATTCCGTCATCCGCTTCATTCACAAATCTCCATTACAACAAAACAAACCCTTTCGAAATACAAATCAAGGAGAATTGGCGCGCTTTTCCATCACAGCAAAAAATCGGCAAACAAATCCACAAGTCCTTTCAGAGAATGATTCTGCCAAGGCGGATAATTCCCTGGTCGTCGATTCCACCATTTGTTCGTCGTCGGCGGCAGCGGCGGCGGGCGGTGGAACTAGGGTTAATCGATTGTCATATAATCCGCTGCGGAGACCATACTTTCATCCACGATTAGCTTATCCGGTGGTAAGAATCGAAGTTAATTTGTGTGTTTATTGTCATATTGAAGTTTGATTTGCTTAAAAAAAAGTACATTTCTGATAATTATGTTGAACCTGTAATCTGTAAGCAAATCATGAATATTCAACGGATAATTTGTTCTTTCTCGTTCGCTATCAATCAGTTGACTTTTGACAGTGTGTAAACAAAAGCTTGATCAAGTCTGTTGCTTCATTGGTTGAATTATTATGACCCTACTATGTTTAATTAGGTTTAAATAATCAAGTCAATTTTTAATAATCAAGTCAATCCCCTCCCTACATTACTTTCTCCCATTCAAGGCTCTCATCAGTTTTTGTTAAACATTTTAAATCTTGTGATAATTAGCAGCTTGAATTCTTGTCAATTGTTTATGTGAGAATCTGATGCATGCCTAATTGCTTCCAAATCAGGTTACATTTGATTTTCTATTTTGTTTATGATTCTTGATTTTGAATAAAGAATGGGTTCTTAAAGTGAATTATGTCATTTTTCGTGTGCAGTGCAGTAATTGATTGGGTCGAGGTATAGGAATAACAATTTTTGTGTAAGATTGAATCTCTTTACTTCATCAATAAAGAAAGAAAAAGGATTTCGGTTATTCTCTACTAAGTTGAGAATTGTAGTCCATTATGTCGTCTGATCTTTGTGGATCACGCTTTCTTTTGGCTTTGCCTCATGAAATATTTTCTGTAATAACGAGTTCCCTCTCTCCGAGGGATGTGTGTAGTCTTGGTATGAGTTGTCCAGGCCTCAACGCTGTTGCGTCATCCGACGAAGCATGGCTTGCCCAATGTGATAAATTGGGTCTAGTCCCTTTTAGCACCCTAATTGAATGGAGAAAGGGGGTTTCATCGTACAAGGCCCTTTGTCGATTCTTGGTGAATATTCAACCATTGATGGGCATTTGGGTTCACAAAAATCCTGAGGTCGGCAATGTAGTATATGTTATGCCTGGTTTTTTATCAGTTGTTGGATGCAGGATAGTCCCGCAAACGATAGGTCCTTTAGGCCTTGAAGATGGTCCTCTTTTGTGGACGTCTGTATTTGAAATTCTCTGCAAGTATGACGGCTCCACAGCATTCTTCTTACACGGGAGGGAGCGAGGAGAAGATTATGTTTACCCCGGATTTCTTAAATCAGTTGATAGAAATTGTAATATGCTTTCGCTTGAGGTGGAGCCTCTGCATCAACTGGATGGAGGAAATACGAGCTCTGAAATTCCTTTCAGCCGTTTGGAATCCGATGATAGAGAGAGGCTCCTCGATTTTACTAGCCAAGTTCGAGATATTGTTCCAGATGCAGCAAAAGGGATTTTTTTTCCTCCCATGAGAAACGATGAGTTTTTTTCTCAACAAGATTTCGCAGTCTTACTTGAAAGGAGATTGTTGCTTTTACATATGTATGAGCGCACTTTGAATCCCACCAAGTTAGGATCAAGTGCTGCAGGTGGTGGGGATCAAGAAAATCAGAGTACTACACTTCATGGATTTCTTCAACCGGTCGGATTGTGTTTACGAGCTCCAAATATGAAAATACATCATTATAAAGCGTGGCCTTCTATGTATGAAGGTCAATCTATTCTTTATAAGATGCCTATTGAGCCTCCCAAGGAATATCACCAGTATGCTGGTTTATGGGGAGGGACTTATGGTTGGACTCCGAGACGGCTATCTAAAGAAACATTCGGAGAGCGCCTTTTCTTGATTTTGATCTCTTATGAAGTGTCCGAGGGGAAAGAATGTATGCTTGCTACCAAGATATTAGAAGGTTCATCCTATGCTGAGCGTCCTAATGGCTCAACTATGTTTACAGTGAATATAGATCAACCAGCCCTGGAGTTATTCCCGTGTGATAGTCAACCCAATCCTATTGATTCCTTTGGGGGAGAAGGTATTGTGGATGGTAATGGTTTCAGATATCCCGGTTCTAAACCTGGTTCACTTTTTGTTCTTCCGAATGGATTGCTTGTTTTTATATACAAAGAGTGGAGGATTATGTTGACCTTGCAAAGGCTCGACTTGACGGATCTTTTAAGGAGAGGCGAAAGAGTGTTATCTCTGCCGCCAATTTTCAACTTTGTGTATCCAACAAGGATGTACATCAATCCTTACCCTGAACCTTCAAATTCTTGAAGCAGCTCTATTTTCTCCAAGGTATGCTTCTCTGTAAATCATTGCTTCTTTTATCCATGCATTGAATCCGAATGTGAATAAAAAAGGGATGAGAACTAATTGTTGTGGATATATACTAATATTCTGTTATGCATTGAAAACATAAAGCTCGCAAGATGTGGATTAGGACTAACATGACGTTGTACAATTCTCATCGTGTCTCCGTATGTGTATAAACAGAATAAGGATTTCATTTTCTTAGAATAGCATAATTCTTGTAAGGTGTTGTTATGTTTCTGGTTTGAAGCTATAATATTTTGCATGTTTAATAGCTTGTAAATTTTTATATTCCAACATCTTTAATGGGTTTCATTATTCACAGGGATCGGGTTTAGAAAGATTTGAAACACTCTTTATTTGAAGTCTTAATTAATGTAAACTTGCAACAACAAAGACCAGTACAGCTATACTCCCAATTTAAGATAATAATGTCCGTTTCTTGGGACTGCATTTTGCTTATTTCATGAGTCATATTAAACAAGTGCAATTAATCAATGATAATCAGAGACATTGATGAAAACATATATCAGTTTCTAAATGATGATTGAAAACCCCGGTAGGAAGGAAGCTTGTTATAGATAAGTATAGCAGATATAACCGATCGTATCACTAGAGCTAAGCATTGGTATTTTGACACTTCCACCCCCTTTTTTAAGAAATCCAGAAAATAATGTTATCTTTTTATGCAGTATGTATTTACCCAGATATATCTTTGAAAAATCATCATTCATGGTAATGTGTGTTTATTTCTGACAGGCAAAACGGTATATAAGACTGCATGCGCTGATGTTTGTTTGGTTCCAATGACATTGAGCTTTGGTTAATCTTGGGTGGTTTGATTCCTTTTTTCTGGTGCTTACAATTTAACAAATAAAGAAGTGTCTCGTTGATGCAAGAGGTTCGATATATTCTTTCGACTGTACTGAATATGATATGGGGATTGAGTTTTGGTAAAATGCATCTGCATAACCATGGTGTTTGGATTTATAGTGTCTGATGTGTATAGACAAAATTGATGCTGAAAAGATTGATTTATTTGAGGAACGGTAAGTTTGGTTAGTAATGTATTTTTCCGCAGATCTTTTGTGAAATATAAATCATTTTTTTTCTGCTTCAATCTGCTATTTAAGATGTAAAAAATTGAAAATTATGTAGACATTATGTTTATTCGACACCAAGAATGAGCTGATTAGTCCATTCTCGTTCTTTTTTCGTTCTTAGTCCAAATTGGACACTTTCAAATTTCAATCTCAAATCTAAAGAATGAAGTTTCACAATTTTAGTCCGATTTCTGGATCGAGATGCTGTTTGCATACATTTTCTTACAGGCAAATAGTAAACTGAGTTGCGAATTTCTTTTACAACATTTAATTTTTTCTCTCAATAAAAAGATCATATTTTTAAATTGTAACAAGTAGTAGTTGCAATTTGAATCCTTCAAGCAATCCATTATGGTTGACATTTTACAGAGTAAACGGAAGTTTGACCAATTATGTTCCTTCCGTGGGTGGGTTACTCTAATCCCACTAAGTTTAATTAGTTTCAAATAACAAAGTCAATCCCCTGTATTAACTTCTCTCAATCAAGGCTGACATCAGTTTTGCTACATGTACTTGTGTAAATTTGAATCTTGTGAGAACGAGCAGCTCGAATCCATGTCAATCGTTTCTGTGAGAATCGGATGCATGCCTATTGCTTCCAGGTCAGGTTATATTTTATTTTCTATATTGTTTCCGATTCTTGAATAGAGAATGGGTTCTTGAAAGGAATTTATACCCGTTTTGGTATTCAGTGCAATAATTGATTGGATCGAGGTGTAGTTTCAGTTTGTGATCTTTCACCGCCGTACGAATAACTGTTTTTTTGTAAGATTGAATTGAATCTCTTAACCTCATAAAAAAAATCGTTTATTCTCTACTAATAAATAAAGAACCGTAAAAAAAAATTCATTTATTCTCGACTAAGTAGTCCGTTATGTCGTCTGATCTTTGTGGATCAAGCTTGCTTTTGTCTTTGCCTGATGAAATATTTTCTGTAATAACGAGTTCTGTCCCTCCGAGGGATGTGTGTAGTCTTGGTCTTAGCTGTCGAGGTCTCAACTCTGTTGTGTCATCCGACAAAGCATGGCTTGCCCAATGTGATAAATTGGGTCTAGTCCCATTTAGCACACTAATTGAATGGAGAAAGGGAGTTTCTTCTTACAAGGCCCTTTGTCGGTTCTTGGTGAATATTCAACCATTGATGGGCATTTGGGTTCACAAAAACCCTGAGGTCGGCAATGTAGTATATGTTATGCCTGGTTTTTTATCAGTTGTTGGATGCAGAATAGTCCCGCAAACGATAGGTCCTTTAGGCCTTGAAGATGGTCCTCTTTTGTGGACGTCTGTATTTGAAATTTTCTGCAAATATGACGGCTCCACAGCATTCCTTTTACACGGGAGGGAGCGAGGAGAAGATTATGTTTACCCTGGATTTCTTAAATCAGTTGATAGAAATAGTAATATGCTTTTGCTTGAGGTGGAGCCTCTGCATCAACTGGATGGAAGAAATACGAGCTCTGAAATTCCTTTCAGCCCATTGGAATCTGATGATGGAGAGAGGCTCCTCGATTTTACTAGCCAAGTCCGAGATATTGTTCCAGATGCAGCAAACATGATTTTTTTTCCTCCCATAAGAAACGATGAGTTTTTTTCTCAACAAGATTTCGCAGTCTTACATAAGAGGAGATTGTTGCTTTTACAAATGTATGAGCGTACTTTGAATCCCACCAAGTTAGGATCAAGTGCTGCAGGTGGTGGGGATCGAAAAAATCAGAGTACTACACTTCATGGATTTCTTCAACCGGTCGGATTGTGTTTACGAGCTGAAACTATGGAATCACGTCATTATAAAGCGTGGCCTTCTATGTATGAAGGTCAATCTATTCTCTATAAGATGCCTCTTGAGCCTCCCAAGGAATATCACGAGTATGCTGGTTTATGGGGAGGGACTTATGGTTGGACTCCGAGAAGGCTATCTAAAGAAACATTCCGAGAGCGCCTCTTCTTGATTATGATCTCTTATGAAGTGTCCGAAGAGAAAGAATGTATGATTGCTACCAAGATATTAGAAGGTTCATCCTATGCTGAGCGTCCGAATGGCTCAACTATGTTTACAGTGGATATAGATCTACCAGCCCTGGAGTTATTCCCGTGTGACAGTGAACCCAATCCTATTGATTCCTTTGGGGGAGAAGGTATTGTGGATGGTAATGGTTTCAGATATCCTGGTTCTAAACCTGGTTCACTTTTTGTTCTTCCGAATGGATTGCTTGTTTTTATATACAAGGAGTGGAGGATTATGTTGACCTTGCAAAGGCTCGACTTGGCGCATCTTTTAAGGAGAGATGAAAGAGTGTATTCTCTGCCGCCAATTTTCAACTTCGTGTATCCAACAAGGATGTACATGAATCCTTACCCTGAAACTTCAAATTCTTGAAGCAGCTCTATTTTCTCCAAGGTATGCTTCTCTGAACCATTGCTTCTTTTATCTATGCACTGAATCGGAACGTGAAAAAAAAAAATATGAGAACTAATTGTTGTGGATATATACTAATTTTTATTTGGTATGTATTGAAAACATAAAGCTCGCAAGATGTCTATAATGTATAAACAGAATAAGCGTAATGGAATATATGAGTCTGTGTGGTGCAAATAATTCTTATCCTGTGCAATATTGTTAGGATAGCTTGTAAATTTTTAAATTCCTTTTTGCAATAGACTCTGGATAAAGAGGAAAATCAAGTGATTGGTACAAGGTGACATCTTGGAGGGGTTCCATAATTGTTGGTGGAATTCACGGGGATCGGATTTAGAAAGATTGAAACACTTTGTATTTGACGTCTTCATGCTTGTGTAGTGTGCAGCATTTCAAACATTTTACGACTGAAAATCTAAAAGCATTATCTTCCAAATCCGTTATTAGTTATAAAATGATGTTCTTCCAGTTTCTTCCTTAATTCCATATGATTGACAACTTCGTAAGTAGGTTCACTTCAATCATTGGCGTTGAATGCAGTAACTTTAACTAGTTCGGAATTTGTTAAAATTAGAAATTTTGAAGATTTTCATTTTTTTGGGGGAGTTGTCGTATTTTGGGAAAATAATTTGGTAAAAAAAGGTAGCGTTTGTTTGTATTTTGAGTTATAGTTTGGGGGAGACATTTTGCACCATAGGTTGTACGGGTCAAGTTATGTATGAAAGTATTAGAAGAAAGAAAGAAGAATATTATTATCCATTTGTGCATTATGTATTTACCCCGATTTATCTTTCGAAAACCAAAATTGATGGTAATGACTAATGCGAGTTTTTTTCTGACAGGCAAAAAATTATCTACAAGACTGCATCTGGTGTTTGTTTGGTTCCTTTTTTTGCTGCTGTCAAAATAAACAAGTGTCTCGTTGACGAAAGAGGTTCGATATATTCTCTCGACTGTATTATCATATGGTGATTGAGTTTTGTTGAAATGCATTAGAAAATAAATATTTGTACGACCGTGGTGTTTGTTAGGATTCGTAGTGTCTGAGATGTGTAGACAAATTTGATGCTGAAAAAATTGATTTGTTTGAGGAATGGTAAGTTTGGCAATGTATCTTTTGCAAATTGTTTGTGAAATATATATCTGATTTTTCTTTGCAATTTAAGATGTAGAAAATTGAAATTATGTAGCCATTAATTGGTTTATTCAACCCCAAAAATGAACTGATTAGACCATTCTCGTCTCTATTAGTATCTTCTTTGAATTGCTATTTCCTGAGCTTTGGTCCGAAAGAATAAATTATTTTCAAGAAAACTACAGTTTTGCACCTATTTCACATTTGGTCCCCCATGTTCACAGAAAATACATTTTGTCCCACATGTTTCAATAATTTAACACTTTTGGTCATTTCCGTCAATTCCGATAGTCCGTTAGTTAAGGCAGTGTGGGCACACGTTCAATTCCGTTAGTACTAGCGGAAAATTGACAGAAATGACTAAAAGTGTTTAAGTTTTGAAACATTAGGAACCAAATGTGTATTTTTTTAATATGGGGACTAAGTATGAAATCGGTGCAAACTTGAGGGATGAAAACTGTATTTTTCCCAATAGTTTCCGTTCTCAGACCAAATTGGACACTTTCAGTCCAGTATCTACATAATAAAGATTGACAATTATAGTTCGACACTCTATTTTCTGAAATAAGATGCTATTTGCTGGCTTTTTTTACTGGCAAATAGTAAACGAAGTTGCAAATTTATTTTCCAACATTTTTTTTCTCAATAAAAAACGTATTTTTAAATTATAGCAAGTACATGTATTAAGGAAATCGAGCGGTGATAAAGAATATCACACGACAACCTCTTCTTGTTCTTCGAGATGCCAAAGTAAACTTCACGAATTTCTTCGATCGTAAGATAGGGTGGGATTGAGTTTACGAGCCGTAACTATGAAACTATATTCTTACGTAGCATGGCCTGATATGCACGACATTCGTTTCGCTCTCTACAAATTACCGACTAAGACGAGTACAGATATACGCCCAATTTAAGATGATAATGTCCGTTTCTGGGAACTGCATTTTGCTTATTTCACGAGTCATATTAAATGTCAATAAGATGGAGGAACGGGCCAAGGTAACTTCAAACTTATTTTGGAGTCCTTAATTTGTATCTTCTTGACCATCAGATTGTCGTCAAGCTAATAACTACATATGGAAAGTGTAAGTGCAACATCAACACAGTGGATAGGACTAGTTTCTCTTATTTAATCTTACAACAGTTCTAGTTTTACATATGATCAAATGTATCCTTATACATTTGAAGCATCTCCCCATTTTGCGACTGAAATCTAAAAGCATTCTCTTCCAAATTCGTTATTAGTTACAAAATGTTGTTCTTCCAGTTTCTTCGTTAGTTCCTTACGATTGAGAACTTTGTAAGTAGGTTCACGTAATTGTTGATGTTGAATGCAACAGTAACCCGAGTTCGGAATTAGTCAAAATTCGAAATTTTGAAGATTTTTATATTTTTTTGGAAGTTGTGGTATTTTGGGAAATAATTTGAGAAAAATGTAGCGTTTGTTTGTATTTTTAGTTGTAGAGTGGGACAAGACATTTTTCTACTATAGGTTGTGGGGGTCGTCAAATTATGTACGAGAAGAAAGAAAGGAGACTTGTTTGTATTTTAGTTGAGACATTTTTCTACTGTAGTGTTCTATCCCAATTGTCAATTTTGTCCAAGGAATAATTTCACAAGGGGACACTCGCATAGAATATGGAACGAGTCTTCTCTCTCTTGACAACATCTTTGAAATTGATCCATCAAACTTTAGTTATCTATCATGCTTTAGGGCTTTAATTAATTTAAGGTTGTCTCTGTGAGCCAAAGAAAGATTTAATCCTGAATGCAATTAATTAAAGATACTCAGAGACATTAATTAACCAACTGTTTCTCACATGTATAAGTTTCTAAATTATTTTCTCTTGCTAAATTAATTTTCCTTAAACTGCTATTTTGTAGTCCAGTGCCTTTTTGCTTTATTGATGATTGAAAAACCCTGTAGGAAGGAAGAATGTTATAGATAAGTATAGAAGATATAACAATTTGTACCTATAAAGCTAAGCATTGATATTTCGACACATCTAGCAATCTTGCAGCCAAGCGATCTATAAACCCGGAAATATTATTATTTTTTTATGCATTATGTATCTGCCCCGATTTATCTTTGGAAAATCGTCATTGATGGCAATGCCGTGTTTATTTCTGACAGGCAAAACGATCTATAAGACTGCATGCGCTGGTGTTTGTTTGGTTCCATTGACATTGAGCTTTGGTTAATCTTGGGTGGTGTGATTCTTTTTTTTTTCTGGTGCTGCCAAATAAAGAAGTGTCTCGTTGATGCAAGAGGTTCGATATATTCTTTCGACTGTATCGAATATGAATCTGGCGATTGAGTTTCGGTAAAATGCTTCTGCATGACCATGGTGTTTGGATTTTTAGTTTTTGATGTGTGCAGACAAATTTGATGCTGAAAGATTGATTTATTTGAGCAACAGTAAGTTTGGTGAGTAATGTATTTTTCGCAGATCTTTTGTGAAATATAAATGATTTTTTTTTTCTGCTTCAATCTGCAATTTAAGATGTAGAAAATTGAAAATTATGTAGTCATTACTTTGTTTATTCGACACCAAGAATGAGCTGATTAGACCATTCTCGTTCTTTTTTCGTTCTTAGTCCAAATTGGACACTTTCAAATTTCAATCCCAAATCTAAAGAATGAAGTTTCACAATTTTAGTTCGATTTCTAGATCGAGATGCTGTTTGCATACATTTTCTTACAGGCAAATAGTAAACTAAGTTGCGAATTTCTTTTCCAACATTTATTTTGTTTCTCTCAATAAAAAGATCATATTTTTAAATTGTAACAAGTAGTTGTTTAAATTTGAATCCTTCAAGCAATCCATTATGGTTGACTTTTGACAGAGTAAACGGATGTTCGACCAATTATGTTCCTTCCGTGGGTAGGTTACTCTGATCCCACTAAGTTTAATTAGTTTCAAATAACAAAGTCAATCCCCTGTATTACCTTCTCTTAATCAAGGCTGATATCACTTTTGCTACATGTACTTGTGTAAATTTGAATCTTGTAAGAACGAGCAGCTCGAATCCATGTCAATCGTTTCTGTGTGAATCGGATGCTTGCCTATTGCTTCCAGGTCTGGTTATATTTTATTTTCTATTTTGTTTCCTACTCTTGAATGGAGAACGGGTTCTTGAAAGGAATTTATACCCTTTTTGGTATTCAGTGCAATAATTGATTGGATCAAGGTGTAGTTTCAGTTTGTGATCTTTCACCGCCATACGAATAACTGGTTTTTTTTTTTTTTTTTTTTTTCTGTAAGCTTGAATCTACTTACCTCATTAATAAAGAACAAATAAAAAAAAAGGATTTCGTTTATTCTCAACTAAGTAGTCCGTTATGTCGTCTGATCTTTGTGGATCACAGTTACTTTTGGCTTTGCCTGATGATATATTTTCTGTAATCACGAGTTCCCTCTCTCCGAGGGATGTGTGTAGTCTTGGTCTCAGCTGTCCAGGTCTCAACGCTGTTGTGTCCTCCGACAAAGTATGGCTTTCCCAATGTAATAAATTGGGAATTAAACTACTCCCTTTTAGCACCCTCGTTGAATGGAGAAAGGGGGTTTCTTCTTACAAGGCCCTCTGTCGGTTCTTGGTGAGTATTCATCCGTTGATCGGCATTTGGGTTCACCAGAACCCTGAGCTCGGCAATGTAGTATATGTTATGCCTGGTTTTTTATCAGTTGTTGGATGCCGGATAATCCCGCAAACGATAGGTCCTTTAGGCCTTGAAGACGGTCCTCTTTTGTGGACGTCTGTCTTCGAAATCCTCTGCAAATCCGACGGCTCGACAGCATTCTTTTTACACGGGAGGGAGCAAGGAGCAGATTATGTTTACCCCGGATTGTTTAAATCAGTCGATAGAAATTGTAATGTGCTTTTGCTTGAGGTGGAGGCTCTGCATCAACGAGATGAAATAGATAAGGGGACTGAAATTCCTTTTAGCCGTTTGGAATCTGATGACAGAGAGATGCTCCTCGATTTTGTCACGAGACAAGTCCGCGGTATTGTTCCAGATACAGCGACCGCGATATTATTTCCTCCCTTGAGAACCGACGAGGTTGATTCTCAACAAGATTTTACAGTCTTACACGAAAGGAGATTGTTGCTTTTACAAATGTACGAGCGTATGTTGAATCCCACAGAATTCGGATCAAGTGAGGCAGGTGACGGGGATCAGGTGCTCGAACAGATACTAAGGAAATCGAGCTCAACAGATGGCGGTCAAGAAAATCAGAGTACACTCCATCAATTTCTTCGATCGAGCGATAGGGTTGGGTTGTGTTTACGAGCTGCAACTATGGAATTAAGTTTTCATATGGCGTGGCCCCATATGGACGATGATCAATCTATTCTCTATAAGATGCCTATGGAGCCTCCCGACGAATGTCACAAGTATGCTGGTTTATGGGGAGGGGCTTACGGTTGGCCTCCGACGAGGGTGTCAGAAGAAAAAGCCGGAGAGGCCCTTTTCTTGATTTCGATCTCTTACGAAGTGACCAAATGGGGGAAGAAACTTATGATTGGTACAAAGATACTAGAAGGTACGTCGTACGTTGAGCATCCTAACGGCTCAGCTATGTTTACAGCGAATGTAGATGAACCAGCCTTGGAATCGTTCCCGAGTTATGGCGCTGAAGACTCCGAGTCTATCGATTCATTTGGGGGAGAAAGTATTGCAAGTGGTTATGGTTTCAGAAATCCTGGTTCTGAACCCGGTTCGCTGTTCGTTCTTTCGAATGGATTGCTTTGTTTCGTATCTGAGGAGTCGAGGACTGTGTTGACGTTTCAGAGGTTCGACTTGGCGGATCTTTTAAAGAGAGGTGAAAGATTGCCTTTGCTATTGCCGCCGGTTTCGAACTATGTGTATCCAATGAGGTGGTACGTAACTCCTTACTCTGGAATTTCAGATTCTTGAAACAGCTCTATTTTTTCGACAAGGTGTGCTTCTTCGGTGTAAACCGTTGCTTCTTTTATCTGTGCACGAGTGTGTGTGTGTGTGTTGTACGGCCAAGTTATAAGGCCAATTTAAAAAAAAAAAAAAAAAAAAAAAAAATTGTTCAGGATTATAATACTTTTTGCAGTTATTTTCATGTAAAAAAAATAATAATAAATTTATTCGAGAGGATATTTATTATTACAAGATTTAATGGGTCAATACCTTTTTCATTTTTCACATGTAAAAACTCAAGGCAAATTACTAAAAAATCCTAATTAAAAACAGGGGCAATTAGCTAGAGTTCTTACTATAAGAGATTTTATTTGTATAAATCCAACTATTAATTCCCTATTTTTATTACTTTTATTATTCTTATTTGTCTAAAATACTGCAAACAAAATATGGAAAATAAAAATCCTCAAATAAAAC